CCTCCCCCCATTTCCCTCTTTCTTTAATCAACATGTGTTTCGTAAAGGGATAGTTCACTCAAAAATGAAAATTCAGTCTAATTCACCTTCAGGTTGCTCCAAACCTGCATGACTTAATTTTTTCCACAAAAGAAGACATTTTGAAGAATGTACTGGTCATTTTTCCAAGCCGTTTTTAAAGGCACTGGAGCTTTTTAAGCTTCTAAAAGTCCACATGAGTTTAAATGCTATATTGCTAGCCATAATACAGCTTTGTGTGAGAAACAGAACAGAAAATTGTAATGATATTCTCTGAAATATCTGACATCCATTCTAGCTCTCCTTGGCATTTCACAGGAGTTCATGAGAGTAGCAGTATTACCCAATTTGCACAATTATTCTTCTGAATTGGTTATTTTTGGTTGATCTACTTCAGTAAACAGGTCTGAATGATTCATTCACAAAGCGGACTAATCCAGTTCACAAACTTAGCTCAATGGCTCAAATATCTAAAATTGTATGTAAAAAATGATGAACGGTTTTGGAATTACATGAGGGGAAGTAAATTATGACACTATTTAATTTATGGGTGAACTATCCCTTTCACATCCCATTTTTAAGGCTTTTGCTATGAAGTCACGCATCATTTTGTTTCAAAGTCATTCTTAGCTAGTACATCTCTCCTTCTCTGCCTTTCTCACCTCCTTGCTCAACCACCAACACCATTTGCTCTTTCTCCACGTGAGGGTGCGCTGACAGATCCTGGGCTGAATGGAAACGAGCATGTCCATCCATCCTCGCCTTTCTTGCTCCCTCCCTCACCTTGTGTCTCTCTTCATCCTCTCCTCTCTCTCTGTCTTTTTTTTCTTTCTTTCAGGTGTGCTAGGCTTTTTGGCATTTCCTCTTTCTTATCGCAGGAGGCAGGTAGGAGTCATGGGCAAACAACACGCATCATTACCTGTGTGAGTAAAGTGGTCGGGTCCTGGCACCTTCAACCGGTGCAGAATAACTAATGCCTGGAACCTTCCACCCGGCTCTGTACCAGCCCAGACGCAATATGGGGGTTCACCCATTGCAGATAGCTCAGATAACTGGGCATTAATTTGCCCTCATGACTCCAAAATGATACAGCCTCAGGGTATGTCTAGAAAGCAGTCTGAGACCACCGAGTAGCTCACCTATGCATTAATGTCAAGGATGACTCTATATATATATATA